GACAAACATTATACGATTCCATTCACGTGAGGTACCTAGAACAGTCAAATTTGGAGAGACTGAAAGTAGAACAGTGGTTACCAGGGCTTGGGAGGCTGAGGAAATGAGATTTATTGTTTAATGGGTACAAAGTTTCAGTTAGGGATGCTGAAAAATTTCTGGAGACAGATGGGGGTGATGGTTGCACAACAATGTGGATGTACTTAATGTCACAGATTACCCTTAACAATGATTAAAGTGGTAGATTTTGTGTTAACTATATTTTTACCACAATGTAAAAAAAACAATAGCAGAAGAAAATTCTCCCAATGGGTAGAACTTTGGTTAATATGATCAATGGCCTTACTCATGAATCTGCACTGATCTATGGATAATGCCTAAAATAGTTGGTCAGAGACCTGAAAAATTTAAGACTAGAAGACTGATAATGAGGCTATCACTATGGACCTCTTAGAATTAGAAGCCTGTGAATAGGGCGCCTGGGTGGCTCAGATGGTTAAGCGTCTGCCTTAGGCTCAGGTCATGATCCCAGGGTCCTGGGATGGAGTCCCGCATCGGGCTCCCTGCTCCTTGGGAGCCTGCTTCTCCCTCTGCCTCTCTCTCTCTCTGTCTTTCATGAATAAATAAATTAAAAAATCTTAAAAAAAAAAAAAAAGAAGCCTGTGAATATATGTAGCCTATATTCCCCAGAGGCATTCAGTGCGGAGGATGCCCTTAATAATCAGGTGGACACCTTGGAGAATTGGACCCATTCTCTAGTCATCAGGTGCCTCTTTCTACAGCCACATCTGTGCTTCTATAATGGAACCATATATGTAGAGATGATGGTAGCAGAGATGGAGGCCATGCAGGAGTGGAATAATACAAACATCTCTTCTCTTCTTAGATTTGATCTGATTACCACCACTGCTGATTGTCCTATGTGCCAAGAGCAGAGGACAGTCCCTAGCTGGTCCCTCCTATTGGCTACGTGGGGAAAAGTTGTTTGTATTGGATCCTTTTTTCCCAGTCACAGTTATTTGTTCTCATTGGAACAGATCCTTATTCTAGATATGATATTGTCTTCCTTGCCTACTTTGCTTCTACTACCATGACTACCATGGACTCCTAGAATGCCTCATCCTTTGCCATAGAATCATGCATTACATTATCTAGCACCAAGAAACTGATTTTGCAGCAAAGGCAGTAGGACAGTGTAGTTGTGCCCATGAGTTTTACTATATGCCTCTTTATCCAGAAGCAGGTGGCTTGATAAAAACGTGAGGTCACTAGCTGGTGACAACACCTTGAGAGGTTAGGGCATTTACCCAGGATACAGATGTATCTTAAACCATCAGACAATATATGTGTCATTTTTCTTATAGACAGAATACACTGTCTAAAAACCAAGGAGTGGAAGTGGGAATGACCTCCTTTCCATTACGCATAATAACCCACCTACCAAAGTTCTGCATACCATCCCCTCAACCTTTAGATCGGTGAACTGAGAGGTTTGGGTGGGCAAAGGACATACTTTCACCAGTAAACACACAGGCATGTGCTAGTAACTTGGAAGAAAAGATTGCTCTCTAACAGACAGAGGAGAAGGTCACCGTACTGGCTGGTGATTGGTCCTGATTACCAAGGGAAAATTGGGTTGCTGCTACATAATAAGGCATGAATGATTATGTCCAGATCCCAGAGAACTCCCATGTCCAATGACAATAGTCAGTGAGAAACCATGGCAAACTAATTAAGATAGATCCTTAGTATGCATGAAAGTTTGGGCCCCTCCCACCAGTTAAAAAAAAAAAAGTCATCCAGGCCAAGATGCTCAGAGAATGGAAGGGGGGAGCACTGCCATGATTATCAAATAAGGCCTCATGACCAGTTATGGAAATGTGTCTCTAGCATCCATATTTTCTAATTACTTACTTCTCCCCTTTTCCTTTTACGTGAAACAGCACGTATGTGAAAATAACCATTGACGGCGGTTAATATTACAGTTTAGCTCCAAATGAGAATACCATTGAATCGACATACAAAAACTGATAGGACTTTGTGTTTCCCCTGTTTTGTTTTGAATTCTCTTCCTCCAAATGAAATAAAAGAATAGATGGACTGTGTGGTCGTTTTCCAACTGTCTCTCCAGCTCCATTTTCTGCCCTTCTCTGACCAACTCTGTACCATGACAGGATGACCTCTAAGGACTCTGGCACCTGTTCTCCTTTGCCCTGCAGCTATCAAATGGTTCAGTAGGAGGCATAATGAGGAATCTGAAGAGCCAAAGGAGAGATTTTGGGGTATTTCTTCCCCACTCCCTTCCTACCAGATAAGTGGCAGCGATTTTGTTCCTCTACGTATGGATGATGCTCCTTTCAGGCAACCTCTTTCATGGCCATGGCTCTTGCTGAGTTTTGGTAACACCTCAACCTCCACTCCTACCTTCAGTCCTCAGAGTTGTGATGGCTTCCTACTGTTGACAGTCCCAAGACTTCTACCATTTCTTATTGGTTCTCTCAACCCTACCCACATCTCTATACGTGGTCCTTTTATTAAACTTTCTTCTATTAAACCTACTTATTCTTTAGGGCAAATTTTGAAGTATTTGCTATTAAGCAAGAAAATGCACAGATTTTAAGTGTACAGTTTAGTGAGATTTAACAAATGTATACACTCATGTGACCACCATCCTCAAGATATAGACCATTCCCATTAGATCAGAAGTTCCTTTGTGTTCCTGCCCTGTCAAAGGCAACCACAGTATTTACTGTCACCACAGATTAGTTTTGCCCCTCTTAAGCTTCATATGAATGGAATCATAAACTCTTTTATGTAAGGCTTCTTTCACTCAGCAACCACATTATTGAGTATATCAGTATTTCATTCTTTTGATTGCTAAATAGCATTCCATTGTATGACTACGACACAGTTTGTTTTTCTATTCATCTGTTGATGATGTTTGGGTTGCTTCCAACTTTATTGTGACTAAAGCTGCTGTGAAATTTGTGTACAAATCTTTTTGTGGATATAAATTTTATTTCTTTTGGATATAAATCTAGAGGTGGAATTCTTTGTCACAGGAGAGCTATATATTTAACTGTATAGGAAAGTGCCAAACAGTTTCTAAATCAGGGGTACCAAAACTTTAGAGCATGCCATCTCCCCAAATTAGGACAGGCCAAGACAGATCTGAAAAAGACAAATTTTAAAATTTGTCAGGATTAGACAGTAATGGTCAACTGACTATTCTAAACACATTAGTGGCACAGCTCCTGAGGGAGTCTGTCAGTAGCTCCTGCAGGTGCCTCCTGGCCCCTCCCCTCCATTCTCAGCAATAATCAGGCTTTAAAAGGTCCCCTCCAGCTGAGACATGTGAAGTCTCACTCCTTAGGTTACCAGCTAGCTGTTAGAAGAGAAGTAGCTAAGTAAATTGATTTACACTTACATGTGAATGATTGTCGGGCCTTACCGCATATAACGCCCCAGAGCATTTTTATTTTAAAAGCATAGTTTTGTGGGGTTTTTTTAAGGGAGAGGGTGGGGTAGGGGCAGAGAGAGACCGAGAGAGAGAGAGAGAGAGAGAGAGAGAGAGAGAATCTTAAGAAGGCTCCATGCTCAGCACAGAGCCCAAGGCAGGGCTCAATCTCACAACCCTAAGATCATAACCTGAACTGAAATGAGAAGTCTGACACTTAACAGATTGAGTCACCCAGGAGCCCCTAAAAGCAAAGTTTTATTTCACAAAGGAATTAATCACTAATAATAGCTTTGTCGTTGACATTTAGAACAAGGAGAGGAGATATCTTTTCAGTACACTTCAAAAATTATATGAGCTGAAAAAATGACACCTGTAGTAAATCAGATGTGGGTTCAAATTCCAGTTTTTACCTTAAAAAAGAAAGTAGGTAGTCTTTTGATGTCTGTGTCCTAGTTCATTGTCTTGGGGACAAGCATCTGTTCCTTTTAGCACCAATTACTTGTTCATCTTCCTTAAATATCTGTCTTATTTAAATTTGAGCATTTTTTTGGACAGACTGGAGCCTCCCACAGGGTCAGGAACACTGTGGGCACTCCCTACATATCTGTTGACCAGTACATGAAGGTGTAAGGGACTTGTACACTGTACAGTGTCACGGGTGCCCCAGTTACAATACTGATCTTTATTACTCCACGCGCGAAAAATGCAAATCCTCCTTCCCTCACTGAATGATGCTAATGCTATGAACCACTTTAGAATGTGGATTCCCAGCCCAGACCAACAGAATCCGAATTTTAGGCCCTCTCCCGGTCAAGGAAGCCCTGATTTGGAAGGTGTGAAAGTGGTGACAACCACGCCCTCACTGTCGGTGCTGAGAAATGTTAGGGCGTACCTTGAAAAGTCGTGAAGGAAGCGTCTCGAAGACGCTCCTTTCTGAGGGACTTTCAAGCTCCGCTTTTAGGAGTCGTCTCGCTGTTCCGTGGGTTTCACTCCTTAGAGTGAGGTTGGCAAGTTAGATTCTTCTTTTTCATAAACATGTTCTTGCTCTGTGGCAGGACGCCAACTGCAAAGTCAAGAGGCAGAGGACAGAATTAGGCATTCGGTTTTGAATGGTCCTCCCGGAGGGCCCGGCCTCTCAGACTGCGTCACCCTTTCGCCGAGGGTCCCCCAAGCAGGTGGGGGTTCCCTGCAGCCGGCTCTCCCCGCCTCCCCGCGCCCTCACCCTCCGCCCCGGCGGCGCCCCGGGAGCTCGGCGTACGGCGCAGCCTCTTTTGGTACCGAGGCCTCCAGGTGCCCGGCGCGAAGGCGGAGCTGGGTCCAGCCGCCTCCCCGGCGCCTCGGACGAGACCCCCGGGAGCTCGGGGGCCCCAGCGCTGCGGCTCCGAGCGCTCGGCCTCCCCGAGCTGCGCGCGCTCCTCCCTGCGGCGCGCGGGGCGCGAAGCCCACGGAGCAGAGCGCAGCGCGCACAACCGAGTGGCGCACGAGGGGCAGTGGCCGCGCAGCCGCGCCCGCCACCGGACCCCGCGCTCGAGCCCGGACCATGGCTGCCGAGGGACGCGGCCCCCGCGCCCAGCTCTGGGCGGCGGCGCTGCTCCTGCTCGGTCTGCCGTGCCTCTCCGTGAGGGCGGATGGTGAGTGTGCGCGGGGTGCCGGGGGTGGCGCGTGGGGTCCAGGTGGAGAAAGCGAGGCTCGCTGGGGTGCTCCCTCCCGCAAGCCTGGAGGGGAACGACGCGAGCGGCGCCCGGGCAACTCTGTGTCCCTCGCCTGACCCACCGGGTCTCCGCTCGCCCCAGCGCCCCCCACCCCAACCCCGGCCTGTGAACCCTTCCTCCAAGCACCGCAGAAAGCCTATGCGATGGTCCGGGAGCCTGCCGCTAGCTTTCCGATCTTCATGAGAGGTCTTTACAATGAAGTCACGTCTAGGGTGCCCTAGAACCTTTTCTGCCGAGATACTCCACGTGTATTAAACGTACTCCTGGTGGCAAGGCGGAGAAGACTCCCTCGGTAGTTTGGCTTGGTCCAAGAATATTTGAAAGATGAGTGGAAAATCAACTAGATAAAGGGGAGAGGAGAGTGTCTTGTGGGGGAGGAAAGAGCATGTGTAAAGGCCCTGTGAGTGGCAGGGAAATTGGGAAAAATGATAAACTGGCTGGAGCCGAGATTGCAAGGTGAGGATGTCGTTTGTCACAAAGCTGGAGAAGTAGATAAGGAAGAGATTATTGCAGGTTATAAGAATCGATCTGCTTTGTTTGTTTGTTTCTTGTTTCTTGAACCTCAATTCAGCTTTCAGTACTTCTCTTAAATTGGCAGGATCAGAGCCTTATACCGGCTAAGTTTCGAAAAGCTAATTCAGCTGTATTCTGATTTTGGAACAAAACCCCGTTGACTTGGTGAAGGAGGATCTGAAAGAAAAGAAGCCAGCAGTTCTCACATCCATGAGCAGTTTCTAGAAAATCCAAGCTTAGGACAAATTAAATTGATGAAGGAGAAAAACCCTTGCCTGATTTGGGATGCTTTGTGTATTTTTAAATGTCATTGATTTTTAGTAAGCAATATTGAGTGAAATGAGAAGACCCCACAAAAAGAAGCATAGTGGTTAAGGAAAGGAGTAAAGTAAGAAAAAACTTCCAGATATTATCTTAGAATTTTTGGTACTTTTTGCCCTAAGTGCCAGCTTGAAAAACTCTTTGCTCCTAATTAAGGATGAATGCCTTATTTCTTCATATCCTCAGAGTGTTAGAGAAGAAAACAGTTTTAACTTTGAAGGCTCCTCATGATAACTGTTCATGTTTTAAAAATTGAGATGTAATTCACATAAAATTTACCATTTAAAAATTTACGATTCAGTGGTTTTTAGTATATTCACTATGTTGTTCAGCCATCACCATGATCTAACTCTTGAAAGTGTCTGTCCCCTGAAACAAAATCCCATACCTATTAGCAGTCAATCCGCTGTTCATTTTTTACTGTAGCATTTTTTTTTGCCTGACATTGAGTCATGAAAATTAGCTGATTTTAAGGAATGCAAGTAGAATAAATTGGAGCTAGTATTAACTTTTGGAACAATGTATACTATTGTACCACCTTAATTCCTTTTAAAGAAATATCTCTGCAAACCATGAGACTTTAGAGTTTCACCCTATTGTTACTGCTTAAATGGAATGCCAAGTGGATATGGATTAATATTTTGCGCTATCTGGCTTGAGGTGGGTCATAGAAAAATGGAGGCAGAAATATCACTGGAGAAGGAGAGAGTAACCGCAGCATGAGAGCTTGTTTTCTTGTTGCCCCTTGCCAGAAATGCTTCAGTTTCTCCCTTCTCCTTTCTTTCCTTCTCCCCCCTTCCCCAATTATGGGTACACTTGCTTTCAAGAAACTCCATTTGCTGAGTTCCAACTTTTATAATAGAACCATTGAAGAATTAGAACCTATATTATGAAAGGATTCTTTTCGTTACCAAATATATGTTTAACTACTACCACTTTCCACATTTAGTTATTTGTGTTCTACAGTGATGGAAGGAAGAAGAAGAAATGTTCAGCTAAACTGTGATGTGTTATAGACACTTGAAGAGAGACTTGGAGTTCTTAACTCTATGGACCTATTAAAAATAAGTCAATGAGATAAAATAAAGAGCATTTAGCTTACATTTGACTAATAAGATATGCATCTCATATATAAAAGATATCTGTATTTTCCCCCTTTTCCTACTGTACTTTTAAAATACTTTGGAAAATTGAAAAATTTTCACATTAACTGAACGCAAATTAACCGCATTACAGGAAAAGATTCGTTAATTCAACAGATAATTTATTGAGCATCTACTGTAGGCTAGGTACAGGCCTTGCTGTTGGGGATAGAATGGTGAGGAGAAATAGGTCCTTGCTATCAGGTAGCTTAAAATCCAATGGGTTAGGGTGGGGGGATGGGTTAGTCTGGTGATGGGTATTAAAGAGGGCACATTCTGCGTGGAGCACTGGGTGTTATGCACAAACAATGAATCATGGAACACTACATCAAGAACTAATGATGTAATGTATGGTGATTAACATAACAATAAAAAATTTAAAAAATCCAATGGGTTAGAGAGTCAGTAGATAAATCATTACATGAATGAAATGTGAAGTTGTAATTTTGATAGATGATGAAATTAAAGGATAGAGGTACTATGAAAGCATATACTAGGAAGTTTGGATTTGGTGTGGGAGGGTCTGAGGGGGAAGAATGAGTATCTGGGTAGAGAATAGCATGTACCAAAAAAAACTGTGAGCCAGGAAAATGGGCCATGTGATAAGAGACAGAATGACTGGAGCCAAGAGTCCAAAGTGGAAGTGGTTTGAAATGATGCTAAGGAAATTGGAGTGGGTACAATGAGGTGGGTCCTCATAGAAAAAAGTTTTGTTTTAATCTAAAAAAGGGAAGGAAGCCACTGGATGATTTCCAGTAGTAGAGTGACTGATAAGATTTGCATTTTGAAAAGATCACCCTGATTGTGATGTAGCAAGAATGGATGGGACCAGGGCAAGACTAGATATAGAGAGGCCATTTTATTTGTGCAGGTGAGAGAGGGTGGAGGTATAGAGGTGGATGGGGTGATTGGAAAGGGTCTGGACTGAAGAGAAAAATGTGAGTCATCTGTTTTAAGTATAGTCTTTGAAACCGTGTGTGTGGATAGAATCCTAGGGAAAGGTTTCACAGTGAGAAGAGATGACCTACAACTGAGCCTGGAGTGAAGGAAACAGATTTAGGGTTATTGACTCTGTGTACATGAGATATATTGGCCTATAATTTTCATTTCTTAAAATATTCTTGTCAGGTATTGACATCAGGATTGTGATGATTTTCTTTTACTTATTTATTTTAGAGAGAGAGAGCATGGGAGAGGGGTACAGGGAGAGAGAGAGAGTGTGTGTCAAGCAGACTCCATGCTGAGGGCAGAGTCCAACGTGGGGCTTGATCTCACGACCCTGAGATCATGACCTGACCCAAAACCAAGGGTCGGATACTTAACCAACAGAGCCACCCAGGTGCCCCTAGGATTATGATGATTTCTTTTTTTTTTTTTTAAGATTTTATTATTTATTTGAGAGAGAGAGAATGAGAGATAGAGAGCACGAGAGGGAAGAGGGTCAGAGGGAGAAGCAGACTCCCTGCTGAGCAAGGAGCCCGATGTGGGACTCGATCCCGGGACTCCAGGACCATGACCTGAGCCGAAGGCAGTCGCTTAACCAACTGAGCCACCCAGGCGCCCTATGATGATTTCTAAAATAAGTTGGGAAGTTGTTCCCTCTTCTGTTCTTTGAAAAGATTGCCACAAGGTGAGCTGTTGTTTTGCTTTATTTAGTGTTTGGTAGTGAGGTCATATGTGTTTGAAGTTTTTCTCATGGGAAGAATTTATTATTTTTTAAAGATTTTGTTTATTTATTTGAGAGAGAGAGCAGAGCAGGAGAGAGATAGAGAGAGAGAAGGAGGGAGAGCACAAGCAGGGGTGGAGGGGCAGAGGGAGAAGGAGAAGCAGGCTCCCCACTGAGCAGGGAGCCTGACTCAGGGCTTGATTCCAGGACTCTGGGATAATGACCTGAGCTGAAGGCAGACAGACGCCCAACCAACTGAGCCACCCAGGGGCCCCTAAATGATGAATTTAATTTCTTTAAGTAGATAAAGAGATATTCAGATTTTCTTATTCATTTTGGGTCAGTTTTGTTAAATCTGTTTTTTTATGAAATTTGTCCATTTCATCTAAATTGTCATCCAGATGTACTGGCATATGTAACATCATAATCTCCTTATCTTTTCACTGTCCATGGGATCTGTAGTGATGTCCCCTTTGTTTCTTGATATTGCTAATTTGTATTTTCTCTCTTTTTGTCTTGATCAATTTTGCTAGGGATTTATCAATTTTGTCATTCTTTAGAAAGAAGCAGCTTTTGACTTTATTTTCTCTATTGTATGTCTGCTTTTCATTTCATTGATTTCTGTTCTGTCTTTGTTATTTCCTTCTACTTCTTTAGAAACTTTAATTTTATGTTCTTCTGTGTTTTTAGATAGAAAATTAGATCATTGATTATCAACCATTCTACTTTTGTTTTGTTTTGTTTTAAAGATTTTATTTGTTTATTTGACAGAGAGAGACACAGCGAGAGAGGGAACACAAGCAGGGGGAGTGGGAGAGGGAGAAGCAGGCTTCCTGCCAAGCAGGGAGCCCGATGCAGGGCTCGATCCCAGGACCCTGGGATCATGACCTGAGCGGAAGGCAGACGCTTAACAACTGAGCCACCCAGGCGCCCCAACCATTCTACTTTTGTAATATGAGCATTTGAGGCTATAAATGTCCCTTAAATACTACTTTAGTTTCTCTACCAGTTTTTGTCACTTACATAAAAATGTTTTATTTCAATTGTGGTTTCTTCTTTGAACCATGGTTTATTTAAAAATATATTTTGTAATTTCCTTGCACAAAGGGATTTTCCTAGTTATTACTTTGCTATTGAGAGGCAGTATAATTCAGTGGTTAGGATCACTGATACAGAGCCTGGTTTTGTATCCCAGCTGTGTGATCTTGGACAATCATTAATACTAAATCTTAACTATAAGATAGGGATAATAGGGGTGCCTGGGTAGCTCAGTCAGT